GGCTTTGTCTCACCGGTGCTCATTATAAAAAATCTCCAATTCAATGTTTTCAATGTCTTGAAGTTGGTCATACTGCACAGTTTTGTAAAAATACTCCTCTCTGTAAACATTGTGGTGATCCACATAACTCTATTGAATGCAAAGCTGATGTCAGTAATAAAAATTGTGTAAAATGTATTCAGTATGAGAAAAAAAATAATCCTTCGTTTGTTGCTGATGTTGACAATGTTTGTTTCAATCATTCACCTTTGAGTCTCAAATGTCCGCTCAAAACTAAGAATTTTCGTCGTAATATTATCAATCAATGAGTAGTTACAACCCTTTGTATTCTCACCGTTCTTCCCAAAATTTTCATTCCGGTTCTTCATCACCTCTTTCTGCCTCACCTGATACTCCCTTCAAGATTTTACAACTCAATTGTCACAATTCCTTCAATGTTACGACCAACGCACTCAATTCTGATTCTTGTTTTTCAATCCTTGTTCTTCAAGAGCCATGGATTAATCCTCATACGCTGAAGTTGCCCCATTACACAAGCTGGTCTTGTATTCTTGAATCCAATCACTCTCCATCTAATTACTCCAACAAACATCACATATGCTTCTTCCTCATTCTCTCAACAATTGACTTGTCCATCAACAATAATAGAGTCAAAAAAAATTCGATTAATCAACCTTTACAATCCTCCAAGAACTTTTGAGGGAATTAAATATCTTACCAATTGGCTGGACCAGCATAATGATTGTCGAATCCCTTCCTTTATTTTCATGGACTCTAATCTCCACCATCGGTCTTGGAATCCCCCTAATTATAATCACTCTCATCAACAATCTAAAGACCTTATCAGAACCTGCGGTCGTCACGGTTTCAAAATCGTTTCAGAAAAAGGCAAACCAACCTTCATGAACAGAAGAACCAGCTCCACAGTCATCGACCTTGTCTGGGGAAATTTCTCTTGTTTTCAACTTATCGATTCGTTTTGTACCTCCTCCAATAATTTTGGGTCTGATCACCAAGCTATTGTTCTCAATCTTAATTTCAATCCTCATCCGATTCCTGTTACTAGACTTTCTGTTGATTTAAAGTGTGTAAATTCTGATCAATTTTGTTCTGATTTATCCAAATGTGTTGAAAAATTAACTTTTTTTCCTCTTAATTGTAGTTCCGATGTTGATAAATTTGTTGATGAGCTCACAATTTCTTTCCAAAACTCCATCAATCGCCAAAAAAAGACAGTCAACTCTAACAGCTCAAAATTCAAAGCCTGGTGGGATAAGGATATCCTTTCGCCAATCATTCAGAACCGAAATCGAGCCCAAAAATGGATGCTTATCGCGCGATCAGTTCAAGCTTCTGACTGTTATCACTTCTGGCAAAAGAAGTTCAAGGAGAAAGTATTCGACTTGAAACGGAATCACTGGCAAAAATTTTTGGCGGAAAGTAAAGATCATCATATCTTTAAGGCTTACAAGTTCACCAAACCTGTTAGCAGTGGTAATATTGCTCCTTTGCTGAATGAGAATGATGAACTTACCTCAGATAAGGGGGAACAAGCTTGTCTTCTCTTCAAAGGCACCTCGGAAGTTCCCATCAATTGTGATCTGGAAGACATCGTCCCTCCTATCTTTCCTATTCCTTTTTCATTCCCCGATATCTCTATTCCCAAAATCGACAACATCATTTCTAATCTTCCAAAAAAGAAAGCTAGCGGTGTGGTAACCCATACCTTTCCAAAGCCCCTATTATTTCACTGTATATTCACTTGGTTTTCCTTCATTATTATGACATATTCAGATTCTACACCCAATTTTATATACAGTCACTCACTCAAGCCATATTTCATTTCTTACTGGATCAATAGTTACTTTCATTCTTAGTTTTACAGATATTTTTCTCTACATTTACATTAAACAGTAGCTACATAGGATACATATTTACAGTTTGCTTCATACATCATATCTTTCTCAAGTACTTTAATTTACAATTATTTGTTCTCATTGCATCAGTCACATTTTTAACAGTAGTTGTTTCTCATTACATATATCAGATATTTTCTCAGGTACTTTCTTTACACTCATTATTTCACATGTACCCTTCAGGATAACAGTAGTACACTCTTTCAAAGCCCTTCTCCTCTTTGGGTTTGTTCCCCTTTACTCATCCTTGTTTTCTGTTTACATTTCTCATCTCTTATTTCTACATATGTACATTTCTTTCTCATAACCAGAATTGCCACAGTCTGTGCTCATTTGTATCTTAGAGTATATAAGTAGTCCTTCTTACACTTGTACCCCCCCAATACACATAGAGAGAATACATAACAAGATAGACAACAATATATAGGGAACCAGAGAGATACATATACCATACAACAAAATACATACAACAATCAATGCATACTTTGCCAGAAATAATTTAGTCATATTTTCTTTCCCCCTCTTTTGCATATTTTGCCCCTTAGTGACTCCTTGCATACTTTGCACTCATTCTTCAGAAACCTTGCATATTTTGCACATTATCCTTTGGCCACCTCTGCATATTTTGCTCATACCCTTTGCACCTTAATCCTCACTCCACCATCCTCCTTCCTCATCACTCCTCATACACTCTGTGGTATTATCACTAGACCTTGATAACACCTTCCTGTCCTGGAACTCACTAAGAATGACTAGAATACAAGCCACACCTTTCTTCTTTTTCTTAGTGTAACTCTTCCCAACTCCAGAATTGTACAGGAGGGCAGCCTCAACAGCACCCATAGTCTCAATTTACATTATTCGTAGTGTAGTTGTCTATTTCCCCTCCAAGCTCTGTTTCTGATTGCTCAGCAGTTCCACAGCGGTCATGATGATATTGCTAACGAAACTCTTATTTGGAGTAAAAAATTATCATACCTTTTCTTGTCAAACTCTTTTCAGTGTGTCTTTGTTTGGGATATTTTCCTAAAAAATGGAGACATGCAGTTACGGTCATCATTCGAAAAGCGGATAAAGATTCATATGCTAACCCGGGGTCATATCGACCAATAGCATTATTATCATGTCTGGGGAAAATTTTTGAGAGCTTGCTGACTAAACAAATCACTTACTGGGCTGAAAACAATAACATCATTGCTCATGGCCATTTTGGTGGTAGAGCTAATTGCTGTACTGATGATGCTAATATTTTTTTATCTTCCTGGATTCGTCAAAAATGGAGAGAAAACAAAATTGTTTCAGCTCTTTTTTTTGACTTCAAATCAGCTTATCCTTCAGTCATTAAGGATCGGCTGATTGACACCTTAATAAAGAACAATATCCCTTCTTACCTGGCCTCAATCATTCACTCTATCCTTTCCAACCGATCAACTTCTCTTCGCATGGATGATTATTTATCCCCGTCTTTTAAACTCAGTTGTGGTCTTCCCCAAGGATCGCCTCTTCCACCAATTCTGTATATCATTTATAATTCTTCCCTTCTCATTAGTAATCCTCTTAATCTTCAACAAAACAGGATTTCCTTAGGTTTCATTGACGATGTCACTCACTTTGTTGCTGAAAAGCGCCTTGATCATGCCATCTCATCACTTGAAGGTGAAGGAGATCGTTCTTTGGAGTGGGGAAGAAAAAACAATGCTATTTTTGATAAAAAAAATCAAAGTTTATGATTTTTACCCATAAAAAAGTCAACATTTGACCATTCAGACTTGGCGACATTCGCATGGACAAATTGGATTTGGTCAAGTACCTTGGTATCATTTTGGACCCTCAACTATCATTTAAGCTTCATCTGGACAAAGTCAAAAAATGCGGTATCAGCTCAGTTGGTCAACTCAACAGGATTTCTCGATGTTCTTTTGGTTTGGGCTTACAACAGTCCAAGAATTTGATCATTAGTGTTCTTCAATCTAGAATTTTGTATGGTAGTTCCATTTGGGCTTCTAAGAGAAATGAGTCGGCAGTTAAAAATGTTATCAGTAAAATTAATAATCAAGCCAATAAAGTTATTCTCGGTGTTTTCAGAACAACTCCTTGTAATTTCCTTGATAGGGACTCACCTCTTCTCCCTTTTTTTGATGTTTTAAAAGTGAAGAATCATTTGTATATTTGTAAAAAATTAACAGCCAACGACAAACATCCGGTTAAACAGCTTATCAATCACGAAATCAACAACTCACCCCGATCCCATCTCTCTCCAATCCACAACTTGCTCGATAATCATCTCCTTTCAGATTACGACCTTCAAGCCCTTGAAATCATCAAGTTTCATGTCATCCCGCCTTGGTCGAGCTTCTCCCTTGATGTGCTTAACCTTAACATCCAAAGAGAAAAAGCCAAAAGTGTTGTTACTAACCAAATCTCTGATAAAAAAGAGACTCTCCTTTTTTCGGATGGTTCCAATATTCCGGATTTAGGTTCAGCTTCAGCGGCTCTTCTCAATAACTTGATTTCTTTCGCTTGTAGAATCAATGACATGGATAAAGCTTTGGCTTTTGAAGCAGAGGTTCAAGCAATCAACATCGGCCTTGACATTATCAAAAATGAAATTCAAAGAAACTCTTACCTTCCTCCAACACTATCAGCATCTTTTCCGACAATCAGGCCACCCTTCAGGTTATTGCTAAACCGCCTCGATCAACATCCAATCAAGCAACTTTCATCCAAATTTTCAACAAGTTGAATTATCTGATTTCAGTCCATCAAGCTTCAAATTCTCTTCTCTGGTGTCCGGCGCATGTCGGTATTCCGGAAAACAAAAAGTGGATCGATTTGGCCAAGGAAGCAACAA